ACACCAACCAGTGTTTAATATTCAACAATACTGGGTGTCATGTTAACATTTCAACAGTGTTAAAATATAGTGTTAAAAGTATCACCAGAACATTATTATTATTAATGGAAATTGTGGTGTTATAAAGGTTAACAGACACCACAAGGTGTCAATACACCATGAAATTGAGAGTATAAATTTAACACTCAGAGCTAATATTAAATCTTTGTAACACTACTTAGTAGTTATATAAAAGTATAATGGAGTCACTCTTCACACACCAAGAAGTACCTCTCACTCATGGTGTTGATTTATGTCCAATAACATAAACTTAAAGTTGAACAACTTGATCAAACTGAACAAGAAAACTAACCTGAACAACTCATTTTTACTCTCATGAACGTCTTTAATGTCATAAACATGCAAAAATGTAATTTCTGCAAGATTTCTCAGCAAGGAATGCTGGGTAAATGCTGGTCTGTCTGACATGAGGTGGAAGAGGGCGGGGCTTTTCTGAAAACTTTTTCAACACTGCATGGTGTCATATAACAACACTGTTAAGTGTTATATAAGACTTAATAGTGGGCGGAGCTTATTTAACACTGTCCAGTGTTGAGACAACACTGAGGAAATCAACACTGTGAATGAACACCAACACTGGGTGTGAGTGTACTCAGAAAGTGTTAAAACAACACCCAGAAGTTTAACACTGAAATTTTAACACTCCTGTTTTTTACTGCACATTTAGGTGTTTTTAGTTGTCTAAATAATTGTATTTATTTTGTTGAAACTGTAGTGTTTTTCACCACCGGTGGAACAAAGGGGTTTAAAATCCCGTTCTGTTTCACATCACCTGAAGTTACTGCTGGAAGTGCTACAGCTTGCTGCTGCTGCGAATGAAAATGAAAATGCCAACAGAATTCAATGTAAATTAGACATGGGTTTTTACGATGTAAAAACAAGTGTGCATTGCCATGTAGCATATCATTGCAGCATGGATTTGCCTGCAGCAATGGACTTGCAGAATGAACTGTGACCAAGTACAAATGTGTTTTCTACACCAGCTTGTGCCTGTCACGTCAGCAYGTGTTTGTAATAAGGGTAATTGTGTGACAATATGAAGTTTGTAGAGATTTTCTGTTAGAGTTGCTTTAGCTGGGTTTTGAACCCTGTTCTCCCACATGAAAGTCCATGGCATTGAGGATTAGACCATTGGAGCCATGGCCAAGGTTGGTGCCAGGGGTTGGTTTGTATGTGTGCAGAAAGAGGCCACATTGCCAATACAGTTATTGACACTAAACTGCATAATATAACAATAGAGCAGTATTAAGACATTATAGTAAAACATCAAAATACAATCATATTAGTATTGTAACCACTGAACTATTGAGATTAAATATTATTAAACAATGGTTCAGTACCGAGTAGATACAGCAGGGGGCAGTATTGGACCAATACAAGGCTGTATTGACACCCATTATAAATTATTAACAATTAATATTTCAAAAACTATAAGTTGTACAAGCACCAAAAGGCATAGCCATCATTTGGCACAGGAGCTTTACAGATATAAATTACAATGGCAGCTCTAGGACAAAGTATGCAGGAGGAGAAACGTGCCAAAGTGGAGATGACTTGGATGGGAAACGAATCACAATAGTGTGCATTGCATTGGCAATGCACACTGATAACTGTGTCAGGAAAAACTGATATCAGGATCATCAGTCTGGTGCATCAGGGCTGGTCAGTCTTAGGGCTGATTGACTTAAACCAGAGGTTCTCAATCTGGGGTCCTAGGACCCCCAGGGTCCATGAGAGGTATCTTGGGGATCCTTAAAATTTTTCACTAAATTGTTAATTTGGTTTTTATTTATAAAAATGCATGGAAAACAATTAACTAATAAGACAAACACAAAAAATGTAATAAAAATATATATTCTCATGGCATTTAGGGGTTGAAATAACAAATTATCGTTTAAAACAGTATGGGATTTATGAGGGGGTCCCTGGAATTTTTTGCCCTTGTAAGGGGGTCCCCAGACTCAAAAGGTTCGAGAACCCAAACTGTTTCTTCAAACTAAGTTCAACCATATACAAATATTACTTATAACTTTTCCACAATYTCTATTTAAGTTCTTTAACAAGAGGCAGATGTAAACCATTAGTTTCWTCTCAGATCACAGGTTTTTACATTTCTGTTATAAGAATCTGTTTTTATCGTTTATTTTTTCACATCACCTGACTTTATGTATATTTATCACTCATGCTGTTTGTGAAGAAAAATTATGTTCGTTTTATGCCACTAAATTCCTTTCGTTTTAATCTTTTTGATTTCGTTTTGATTTCACATGAATGTAAAAAAAGGCTTCTCCGTGGTGATGTAATGCCGCTGCTGAAGGTCCTGCTCTGACGGGCGTTTTGGGTTTGACGCAGGCTGCAGACTAGGAGACAACTGTTTGTTATATTTAGTTAAAAACAACCTCTCCGACTGACAGTTTGTTCTGTCAGAAAGGGATTTTGTCCAAAAGCAGTTTGAACATCAGTGATCAGTTTGTGTTTTTGCACCAGAACATTTCCAGTCCCTGTTAACACTGTTTGTCTGTATTCACTGGATCTGAAGGGGTTGAACTTCACTGTAACGAGCTGATCTGTCAGGTCAGCATCACATGAATGTAAAACTGTGCTGCTATTAAACCTGCAAACACTGAGTCTGTTTGTCCAATTGCTTCACACCTTGTATTAAATCAGATTTTACACAAGAAATTTCTTATCTTATCGTACAGAAATGTCAAATGTYCAGTTTTTTAAAATCTGCTGATAATAGTTCTTTCTGGTCATCCTTCATTTTTTAATATTTTCCTTGCAATGAGCCAGATGTTCTGGTGGTTTCGAGCCATAGTTCTGCAGACTTTTCAGCTTTTTAACCATTTCTTGTTCCCTCGTTTGCAGAGAAACACACTGAACTCCAATAAACAAAATATTTAATATGAAAAGAAATTAATATTGTTTCTTTGTATCAAACCAATTTTAAATGCATTTGCGACAAAGATACAACTTATTCACTTTTTTATGTTGCATCTACAAAACAAAGCGACAGTGTTGTGRGCACCGTGCTAATTATTAAAAATTTACTGAAACCTGAGTTTAAGAACAGAATGAAATCATCTACAGTAAATAATTAGTATCTGACAGTTACTATGTCCTAAAGAACAAATAATAATTTATGTAATGTTTTCACTAATGTTCAGAAATAAACCTCACTGGTAAAAATAAAACTATATTTTGTGGATGTGTCTGTAGAAACAATAAATGTGCTCCTTGTAAGGAGACACTAATACAGCTGATTTAAATCCTGTCAGGTGGACCAGACTGGAGACAATAAAACTGACTGAAATCTTGATGAACTGCAGGAACATAAAACTCAAAGACAGAAGCATTCTGGGTAAATACTTCAGCTTTGGCCTCATCTGTCTAAAACAGTGGTTCCCAAACTTTTTATCTTTTGACCCATAAAATATTCATGGCAAAAACTTGTGACCCCAAATATTACTGGTCTGAGTACACAAACTTTGTTAATTACCCTAAAAACACAGGTTTTTTGACAATCTAAACAGCTTATACACAAATATAAWTACTTYTTTTTACTTATTTTGTGTTTTTGTAATAATTACAGGGAAAATATTATATCAGCAATTATTTTATTACCCTTTAAATTGATTCCTGGAGATTATCCAAGGCGCTTCTTGGCCCATAATTGGGTCTCAAGCCCAACTTTGGGAACCAAAGTGCAGTGGTTCCCAAACCTTTCAGCTTTTGACCCACAAAATAACAATAACAGAGACCTGTGCCCACAACTATTTTTGGATGATAAACATTTGTATCGGTTCAACAAAACATGGGCATAGTAACAATAATTTTATACCACATTTATCCATTTTAAATACACTAACCTCACTCCTTTGTAACAACTAAGGCAAAAATGTAATTAATTCAGAAAATCTTTTCAGGACCCCACCTTGATGTTTCGGGACCCCACTTTGGGTCCCGATCCCAACTTTGGGAAACACTGGGACTTCCAGGAATCTTGTTCTTCATTTCGACATCATTTCACAAACAGGACCTGACGCCAGAGTTCTGATTTAGGAGAAAAGACAAGTCTTTCCTGTAAACTGTGCTGACCTTTGACCTTTAACCTGCTAACTCAAGTCTGAGATTTTCTCTGAACATTGCACAGTCTGACCTAAGGGTGAGTTCGCTGTAACACCCAGTCCTGGGGAGAGTTATGGGCAGCAGGCTGCTCCTTAATGCTGAGGTGTTGTGTTTCACCGTGACCTGAGCCTCCTGTGGGATCAGTGAGTTTTTGGCTTCATTTTAGATGAATAAATAATACTTTGGACTCTGTTGTGTGTTTTGTTCATTTGAGGTTAGAACTCGGTGAAGACCAGATCATTTTTACTTTGTCCAGATAAGTAAAAATAATGTTGAACTGTTTTTTTCTTATAATAAATAAAGAAAAGATGCTGGTTTAAGACGTTTGCCCAGAATCATGATGTTGATGTTCAGCAGATCCCTGCTACAAAGCTTGGCAGTGAGAACTGACTGACTCAGCTGTTTACTGGGCAGGGCTGAGCTGGGAGGGGTCCTCAAAGAATGGGCGGTGAGTGAAAGCCCCTCGCGCGCAGCCACGMCTTCTGTGCGTCAGCGCGTAAAGCCGTGCGTGTTTGTGGCTGTGGTCTGTGGAGGAGAGGGGGGCTCAGGAGGAACATTTCACATCGACTTCCTTCCTCCACTGGGGGGGGGTCCTAATATGGAGTTGGGGGGTGTTATATGGGAACCGAAGTGTTTCTCCAACAAAGCTGCAGTTGGATTGTTGGAACCTGCAAGAAGCTGACCGGACCGAGCCTTTCAACATGAACACTGGAGCGCGGCTGCTGGTCCTGCTGGTCCTGCTGGTCCTGGTGGGGAGACTGGCGGGGCTGAAGCCGAACAGCGGCTACTGCATCGGGACTGGATGTGTGGCCTTGTTCTGGCAGCCGGCTGACTTCAGGAGCGCACAGAAGCTGTGCAGAGACCAGCGGGCCCAGTTAGTAACGGTGCGCTCCTCCGTGTCCAGTGACGTCCTGTCCGTGCTGCTGGGGAACTTCACCGGGAGCTTCTGGATCGGTCTGCACCGGCCGGCCGGCTGCCCGAACCTTGCCGAGGTCCTGTTCGGTTACGGGTGGGTCACCAAGGACTCGGAGAGCGACCTGAACAACTTTGGGTCGAGTTTTAACAGCAGCTGCTCCGCGCCCCGCTGCGTGTCTGTGAGCAGAGAGGACAGCTTCAGGTGGGGGCAGACCCCCTGTGCTCAGCTGGCCGCGGGATTCCTCTGTGAGTTCAGCTTCACGGACCCGTGCCGGACTCTGCCAGCCGCACCGGACCGGTCTGTCCACTACATGACTCCGTACGGGTTTGGAGTGGAGGACCTGCAGTTGGTCCCGCCCGGAACCACCGCGACGCGCTTTCCTTCTGGGACCAAACACATCTGCTCCTCGGGGCAGTGGCTGCACGCGCCCTGGAGCTGCGAGATCCAGGACGGTGGCTGTGAGTACAAGTGCGCCAAGACCCCCGGCGACGGCCCGGTCTGCTTCTGCCCCCCGGGACAAACCGTGAACCACGCGAACCGGGTGTCCTGCGCGGCCCCGGGCCCGGGGGATCCGTGCGCGGCGCTGCGGTGCCAGCAGCTGTGCCGCGAGGCCGAGGACGGGTCCGCGAGGTGCGCCTGCGAGCACGGCCTGAAGCTGGCCGAGGACGCCAGCTCGTGCGTGGACGTCGACGAGTGCGCGGACCCGCGGCAGTGTCCCGGGGAGAACTTCCGCTGCGTCAACACGCAGCTGGGCTTCGCGTGCGTCTGCAAGGTGGGCTACAAGAAGCACCGCGACCGCTGCGTGGACGTGGACGAGTGCGTCTCCGCCCCCTGCGAGCACACGTGCGTCAACACTCCGGGAAGCTACACGTGCGCCTGTTACCATGGTTACAGACCGGCCGACAAGGCGCCGAACAAATGCGAGCTTTTCTGCGGGGCGGAGGAATGTCCCGCCACGTGCGACCCCAACGACCCGCGGCAGTGTTACTGTCCGGACGGCTTCCTGTCGGAGGAGAGGCGGACCGGAGTGTTCTGCTTGGATATAGATGAGTGCAGCTACAACTACTGCGACCAGGACTGCAGCAACATGCCGGGCAGTTACCTGTGTTCCTGTTCCACAGGATACAAACTGGTCGACCTGTACAGGTGCGTAGAAACTGATGAGGAGCCCGAGGGCTCCGGGACAGCCCCCTCACCCAGCGCCCCCTCACCCAGCGCCCCCTCACCCAGAGCCCCCACTTCAGTCCCAGATCCTGGCCCGACCCGGAGACCCTCAGCGGTGACCCCGATGGGGCTGGTGGGGATCATAGTGTGCGTGGTGCTGCTCATCGTGTTGGTGGTCTTTGGTCTTCATATTGGACTCAGTGTCAGGAAGAAGAGCTCAGCTGCTGAGAGGAAAGCTGCTGAGGATGAGACTCCCAGTTTAAATAAGGTCACCAGTAACACCAGTGACAGCAGAGACAACATGTAGAGGTTTACAAAAAAAACAAAGACGTGTGAATGTAAGAGACAAACCTTCAGCACAGTTTGGAGAAATGTGGGAGAAACAGATTCAATAAGGATTGTGTTTTTAGTTTGGGGGACGGGACCCTACTTTGGGTCACAAAAGACAAAGTTAGTCTGTGGAGCAAAAAAATGTTTAAAATATTAGACTGAAAAAAAAAAGAACTTTTCAGACTCCATAGGGTTATTTCAGTTTCAGCATTTTTTTTACAT